AAAAAAAAAAAAAAAGAAGCATCCTTATAGTACTGTTCCTTTTCCACATGGCTTAACCCCGCTCAAAATATTTTAATATATAGCATATATCTCTAAAAAACTGATAAAAATGAAACCCATTAAACCTCATACTGAAAATGAATGGCTGCAAAGGGTTAAAAACACATTTTACTACACAATTTTTTTTTTTTTAAGAGAGATTTTGCGACAGGACGTGTATGCTTGCCAGAGAGACAGAAAGCAAGAAATCACCCCCAGGGGGATGGTCATGCCACAATCCCTTCTCCTCCATTCTCCTCTCAGGATTTTGGGCACGCACGCACATGTGCTTGGTGTGAATTATAAGTTGCTGGATCTCGGATTTGAACCACAGTCAACTATGTTAGAGTCCAGTGATGTAATGATTACACCATCTGCTGGTGCCCACAACTGAAAGTTAGAAACACAAAATACATCTTGAAAATTAACATCTTGGGGGCTGGTAGGTGCGTGGTGATTAAGTTGCTGGACTCCCACATGACTGACCATGATTCGACCCTGGACATGGCAGCGTGCTTTCTCACTTTCTCTCTTTGTCTGTCTCTGGTCAAATTTTTTAAAATAAGCAAATAAGTAAATAAAATAAATCATTCTTTTTTTTAAAAAAAAATTAATGTCTTGGGCCAGCAGGTGGTGTGGTGGTGAAGGGGGCTGGGTTCCACATGGCTGACTTTGCAGTTCAAGTCCCGGACCTGACAGCTTGAAAAAACACACCAGGTGTGTGCCATGTGTTTTAAAAATCCCTAGAAAAGAATGAAAAAGAAGAGACTGCAGAGTAGCGATTTCTCACTTTCTTTAAGATTTATTTTTATTTATTTTTATTTTATTTGTTATTATTATTGTTATTTTCAATTTGACCAGAGAGACACACTGAGAGACAGAAATGGAAAGTGAGAAAGCAAGCCACCAGATCTGGGAGTAGAACCATGATCGACCATGTGGGAGTCCAGTGCCTTAACCACCACGCCACCAGACAATCCTAATTTCTGACTTTTTTACTCTCTCACTTTTTCTCTCTCTCTCTCTCTCCCTCCCTCTGTCTTTCTCTGGTGAGCACACACACACTCTATAGCAAAAACAATTGTTTTAATTAATGTCTTACATATCAACTTCAAGAATATGATGGACTAAGAAGAGCAAAACATCACTTCCATGGTTTTCTTGCCAAAAATGTACAACCTCAATCTGACAATGAAAAAACATCAGGGACCAGCAGTTAGCATAATGGCTATGTTGCTGGACTCCCATGTAGTCGACCATGGTTCGAGTCTCAGACCCAGTGGCTTAAACTAACGCCAGGCATGTATGTGTGTGCGCGTGCCCAAGATCCCGAGAGGAGAATGGAGAAGGGATTGCTGCGTGGCCATCCCCCTGGAGGTGATTTTTTGTTTTCTGTCTCTCTGTCTGTCTGTGTCTGTCTGGCAAGCACATGTGCCCTATAGCAAACACCTCTCCCCCACAAAAAAAAAGAAACATCGGACAAATCCAAATAGTGGAGATCTTCCACAAAATAACTGGCCATTACTCTGAAGTGACAAGGTCAGGAAAGACAGAAGAAAAATGAGGAACTAACAGACTGAAAATGACAAAGGAAAGGTGACAGTGAAAGGAAATACGGGAACCGGAACTGGGTCCTGAACACAAAAATAAAAGCAGTGAACCTAATGACCAAGTCTGCGTAAGAGCTACAGTTAATCAACAGTGGAGGAGCCACATTCCCTTTCTCAATCCAGGAGGGACTGTCCTACCCTCACAGACCACGTGGTGTCCTGGCACACCGGCCAGAATGAAAAAGGTATATGGAAACTCTAGGTGCTGCTTGTGCAGCCTTTTTTTTTTTTTTTGAGAGGTTTTTTTTCACCATAGGGCGTGTGCGCTCGCCAGACAGAGACAGACAGACTGAAAGCAAGAAATCACCCCCCCAGGGGGGATGGTCACGCCGCAATCCCTTCTCCTCCATTCTCCTCTAGGGATCTTGGGCACGCACGCACACACGCCCTGCGTGAGTTTTAAGCCACCGGGTCCGGGACACAAAGTGCAGTCGACTACGTGGGAGTCCAGCGACATAGCCATTACGCTAACTGCTGGTCCCTTGTGCAGCTTTTTCAAAGTCTAAAATTACATTTAATTCCGTCAGAATGCTTGAAGCTGGCACCCAGCTGAACTGTGTTCAGAAAACTGAACCAAACCATGTAGAAATAAACAAGATGTGCACACCTCAGAAATCTACCAGCTGCCTCACTTCACCACAGGCCATCAACCAGACACAGTGGGTGTCGCAACTTTCCATCAGGTTTCAGGTAAACCACTTCGCACCACTTCATAATGATTTATAAGCTGCAACCAGTGTGCAGTGTACGTTAACAAGCAAGCCCCGGGTCTTTTTCAAGATAGAATACCATACTTATTGTAGGATTTCCTTAATCGTTGAACATGTATAAAACTGTGCTACTGTTCTCATGTGTAACTAACAAAGTTTCTGACTACTGTAATCCTAACCTCATTGTTTACATTTTATTGCACAATTTTGCACAGTGCAGTGATTTTTAGAAATGCATGTATTGTTATTGAACTGACTGTATTTCAAAGAAAGTTTTTGCAAATTACATATTATTTTTTTAATTGTCAGAGGGCATGAGTGCTCATTAGAGAGAAAGACAAAGAGATAGAGAGAGAGGTCATACCCCAATGGAGTATGGTCAGGCACAAGGACTCAAAGACGGACTGGGTCTTTTTACTCTGCACGCATTTACTGAACACCTACTAGATGCAAGGCATTACTCTAGGTATGAAGCCTGTCACCGTCAACAACATAAATGAAGTCCCTGCCCTTATGAAACCTACATTCTAAGAGGGGAGAACAAAATAAATACTCTTAGAGGATAAAATGTCTTATACAATTAAACCATGTTAATATTAGAAAGAGTGATGAATCAGAAGGGGAGTACTTCTGTACAGTGGTCATGCATGGCAGCCTCTTCGATATCCTCTGAGCTGGTGACTCAAATATTTCGGAAGAGAAAACACACAGTCCTGAAGACAGAATGATCTTGACATAGTCAATGTCAGGGGTCAGATCACATATAACAGATTCGGTTTTAATTCTGAATGCAAGAAAAGGCATTATAAAAGATCGATAGTTAAGGAACTCAGTTTACCTACAAAAAAATTAATAATTCAATCAAAATGGGCAATCAATATGAACAGGTAATTCTCAAAGACAAAGTTCAGAAGCATATGAAAAAGTATTCCAGGGGACCAGCAGTTTGCATAATGGCTATGTCACTGGACTCCCACGTAGTCGACCGCAGTTCACGTCCCCGACCTGGCGGTTTAAAACTCACGCCGGGTGCGTGTGCGTGTGTGCCCAAGATCCTGAGAGGAGAATGGAGGAGAAGGGATTGTGGCGTGGCCATCCCCCCTGGGGGGTTATTTCTCACTTTCTGTCTCTCTGTGTCTCTCTGTCTGGTGAGCGCACGCGCCCTATAGCAAAAACCTCTTAAAAAAAAAAAAAGTATTCCACACCTCTGTCACAGGGAAGTGCAAATCACAACCACAAGGGGATATCACCTAACCCCGAGAATAGCTATGATAAACAAAGAAGAATAGGGGCTGGCAAGGCTGCAGAGAAAAGGGAAGGCTGGTGGACTGTTAGTGGGAATGTCAATTAGTAGCCCCTGTGGAAAACAGAATGGAGGTTCCCTAATAATCGAACAACAGAATTTCTTTTTGACCCAATAATCCCACTCCTGTCCTAGCAAGGGACAGAAAATCACTCAGATGGAGATACATTTGCACATCCATGTTTACTGCAGCATTACTCACAACAGTTAGGACACAGAGTCAACCTAAGTGTCCAATAACTGAGAATTGGATTAAGAAAACGTGGCACACACACACAATGAACTACTACTCAGTCGTAAAGAACAATGATATACTTAACACAAAGTGGATGAATCTAGAAGATACAATGCCAAGTGAAATAACCCAGACGATGAAAGGCCAATACTGTATGTTCCCACTTCACCTGTACTGAATGTTCACCCCACCACAGACACTGAAGGAAGAGACAGAGTGGGAAGTGAGTGGTGGGGCTGGCTGATGGTAACGGGGCTGAGAGGCTGGTCACAGAGCGTGGGATGATGACTGCCAGAGGACTTGGACCTCAGTTTAAGGACAGTATTCCAATTACTGAACTTTCAGCAAGTCATGATCTTCGAAAAGGTCTTTCTTATGTGAAAAATGAACTTTTGCCCAGTCATCCCCTTGAATTATCAGAAAAAAATATCAACTCAACCAAGATAAGATGAATTTTTCCACACTAAGACATAGCCAGGGGCTGTCTGCTCCACTAAAATTCAAGGCAGTGCAGCAGGCTCAGTGTCTTCCTTTTTTGTCAAGCTCAAACCTTTCGCTGGATATTGTGAGGGGTAACGATGAGACCACTGGATTTAAAGATATTAATGATCCATCACAGAGTGAATGACTAGGAGAACCACACTTGATGGTGGAGTACAAGCTTGGTTTATTGTGACATGTGTGCCTGC